TCAGTTAATTTGTTCCATATCTTCTGTAACCATAGGCTAATTTTCTCCATTTTGAGTCCCTTATACTCCCCCTTCTGTCCAAAATAAGGCCTCATACTCAAAAATCTAATAGACTCGGGACTGGTGACTAGGACGGCCATTCATTCGACCAACCTTATACAGTTTTTTTCTTTTTTGTACTTTTTTTATACAAAGCCTAAGAAAAAATACACCTGAAAAAGACTTGCGTGCCAAATGAACTTTTCTCTCAAAGTTTACACTGCTGGCAAATGTAGATAAGGATTAAAATTTAAAAACTAACTAATACAACTAAAGTAAATTCTGTGGAAAATTAACAATAAAATACTTTTTTCGCAAAATTTATAAAGGACCCTTTTATTTCTCAAAAAAAAAACTGGGTAACAGTTATTCGTCGCCACGCTGTATAGATGCATGTATGTAAAATATGTATGTATACGTGTAATATGTATGAAATATTTATTTTAAAAAGTAAAAAGAGCAAAAATATTCTAAGCAAGGAGAAAGTAAAAAGATCCGCACTTTGCTAAGCACTTTTTTACGCATGATATATATGCTTTTGCGTCAAAGAGTGCAATAGCGATTCCAAAATAGCTAATTCATTGCAGAATCTCCCCCGGTCTTGTTTAAACTATTAAAGTCATCGGGGACCAATGGCATCATACCTGCGCAGCTGCAAAGGGCTCTGAAGATGACGTGCAATTGGTTGGATCCTATTTATGCGAACAGCGTGAGGACCGGGTACATCCCCATGGCTTGAAGGGTAGTCAGTGTTGCGTTCATCCCGAAGGCCGGAAAAGGCTGTCATATTTCCCCTAGGGATTTTAGGCCTATCAGTCTCTTCGGGTTTGATAAAAACGCTAGAGAGACCTGTACCTGTACATAAGAAACGCGATTCCTCGTGACTATCAGTCAAGGGCTTATATGTGCTTATACCGCCCTACACACATTGGTAAAGTGGTCAGAGGAAGCCTTCACGCATGAAGATTATGCAGTTGGAGCCTTCTTCGATATCGAGAGGGCCTTCAACAATGTCACTCAAGAGGCAGTAGTCAAGTATATTCATAATCTTGGGGTTGAAACCAACCTAATAAGCTTACTTCGTGTTAGAGCTGTCGCGGCGTAGTGGGGGCGAGTCTGCACTTAGGACAGAGTCAATAGGAGCACTCCACAAAGTGGTGTTCTCTCTCCCCTGCTCTGGATTGCGGTTGTAAACGACCCTGTAGTGCAACTGGAAAAAGTGAGCTGTCGGGTGATCGCCTATGTAGATGATGTGAAACTTTTGGTTAAGGGACGATTTATATACACCGTGTTTGATCTGGCTCAAGGTTACCTGAACTAGGTAGGCGATCAACGGTGGCTGCTAAAGGGGAGCTATCAGTAAAAGGTGGGGTCTCTCGCCCAAATTAATTCATTAGCTTTAGGAAACCAGATTTAAGCCTATATTGTTTCAAGGAGCCCTTGTCTGGTGAAACCCACTAGAAAGGGCTACACTTTTAAAACAGGAATTAGCGGAGTATTGGGAACCATACCTACACTGGCGCTTAACATACGTATGTTGAACACGGCGCCGGCGGGAATTGCAGACAGAATTGTAGCAGCGCGAACTGCTATTAGGCTAAGGGAAACCGGGTCCTTTTGTTACATAAAAAAGGAAAAGAAGACGTTTCTCTGCACACGTTACCTCTCAAGGGCTAGTGATGGCGGTTCTGATATGCCATTGTGCGATTGGTATTCATGCGGTGAAACTACGAATCTCGGCTAATTCTTTTGTATCATCTGTCAAGAGGAATATGAAGTGGAATCATCTCCATACTTTCTTTGGACTGTCCAACCTTCGCGAGGCTAATATGGAAGCATTTTGGCTCGCGCTTCTGAATAAACACTGAGCTCTCAGGGATCAAAATTAGCCGCATTCGAAATTTCGTAACCTGCTCGTGGCGTTAACTTAACTTAACCTAGCCTGTACTTCTTTGAGCTATGAAATACAATGTAAATAATAATGCTGAATATGTCGCATGTGTTCCTTTTGTTGACATGCATAAATTTGATGCATGATTTGATTTGAATTTATTCGGCCATGTCTTCATATATCACTTTCAAACATGTATAAGCGACATGATATAAACTGGCATTTGCATGATGTGTTACATGTCGCTATGTTTTGTAGTTCAGGCCTTTAGTATCTATATATAATTGCTCAGTCATACGAGTTAGTTAGGCCGATCTGTAGCAGCCACAGAATTGAGCTATATATCAAACAAAAGTGCAAGCAGCAGTTGCAGTTAACCGTGTTTGTCAAAAAAGTAAAAAGCGGCAGAAAAGTCGATAGTGAGTAATATAATCTATTGAAAAATATTAACCATATTTCCATGGAATTGAGATTCGGAAAAGTTATTAGGTATAATTCATAGTTTTGAAATATATTTCACGAAAGCAAAAAATAAGAATAGCTGAGATCCCTTTCTTTTTTAAACACCTAGGATATCACTGATCATTAGAGACCGCAAACCTCAAAGCATTACACATTTTTGTATGTGATTTTTAAAATGAACGATCCAAAATTAGCAGGTATACATATTTAAAATTTTTTAGAACCAGTGGTTGAATTTTTGTACTGAAAGGGTTAACCCTAAAATACAACCTACGTCTGAGAGGCGTATACGGAATGGGTCTTTTTTTAATTTTAACACAAAATTTACTTTTTATTTTGTTGTTTTAAATAAATGTGGTTATAGTTTTTATTAATAAAACTATGTTTTATTATTAGTCAAACTCACAACTGCAATATTCTTTAAAAAAAATAAGACAGGACTAAGTATATTTTAGCTCACAGGTTATCTTTTAAGTACATACGCCTCTACCGCGTATGTTAAGGCTTTACGTTACTCCCAAATAGATTAGGCTTCTAGGGTTAAGAAAGCTTTAGTTTGAAAGTGTGATATTAAATGCTTTTCACCATAAACGGCGCCAATTTTCAATGATTTTTGCGTTTCAGATTAAGACTAATACCAGATATTGTGAAAGGTTGAACTATACCTTAAAGATGACGGTTTTCTCATGGCCCACTGCACGAACCTTAGAGTAGAGTAATGTCTTTTAAGAACTTAAAAATTATCCTGGGTTATCAGGTGTCTAGCAATACAAGATTAATTTCACGAAGTTCTTTAAATAAATTTTGAGCTAAGAACTCGGTATTTCGGGGGTTACTACTAGTTTTAATAAATTGTTAGTTTAATTTCCTATAAAATTTACCTTTAGGTTTACGCATTTTAAGAATACATCGAAAATTTGTTTTAGAGAATCAATGTGAAATAATTGCAGAAACGATTAACCGGTTTGCTGAGCAACAGAGACGTCTGCTTTTTAAATAATTTTTGTACAACAAATCGGCAAGTACATATCGTCCCCCGCATGCCAGAGACAAGAATGTGTAAAGATGAAAATTTTGGGATTTTTTTATATGTTTAATGTAGGCAATTACATATGTATGTACAAGGAGCAATTAACATTGCTGTTAACACTTACATTTGTATATGAATTAGTATCTTCCTTTGAACTTCGGACTAAAACCTGTGTAACTGTCAAACTACAATTTTACTCTCTCAAGTGAGAGTAAAAGGAGAACCACGTGAAATACAGAGAAGCAGCAACACGCTACTCGTTGGTATTTTGTAATAGATCAGAAATGCTCTACAAGTTCACCACGTCAAATTTTTAACATTGATTGCTCTAGAAGTTCACCATTTTTTAACAGCGTGAGGATATTTAGGGAGTTCACAAGGTGTTGTATACTGTCGTACTGTTGTGTGTCATAAACTTTAAACGGCTAAAACTATATTTAAGGAATTCGCAAGCTAACACAAAAGTTTTATTATGAAATTTCACACAATTAAAAAATAGTTGGTGGCGATTTCAAGTCCTCTAAACATTTATTTAGCCGTTAAAAACTTTACAACATACAACAATACGACAAGTACGACACCTTTGGAACCACCCAATTGTAAACCATATTTTGGTCAACAATCAGTAAAGTCTCATTAAAAAAATTATAAACACGCTAAAAGACAAACGCATAAAAATGTTTGTAAATACATATATGTACATATGTAGATGCATTTATATGTATGCACATATGCAAATAAACAAATTCTGCACGCGGTTAAAAATTTTTCGTTATTTTTTTTTTTATAAAAATATGGTTCATGCTTTAATCAAAACCACATGAGCCAAACTTTTAACAAAACTTAGAAAAATTCAACAAATTGTGGTCTAAATTTTGAACTTTTTAATCTGCATTTTTAGAATAATATATCGGTAGAAAAGCAAGTGCAAGTTTTAAGCGGCTTAAAAATCGCGTCGATTTTTAAAGATTGTTTATTGCCGACGGCTTGTTGTACTTTTTACCATATACATAAAAGCGAATTTCTTGTAGAATAAAATGCGCAAGACCGTTTGTAAAAAAAAAATATAAACACTATATTTTATAAATTACACCTGTTATATGGATAAAACCGCAAAATACGTCGGAAAAAAATTCATTAAAAATTAACGCGAATTTTTACCCGCTTAAAACTTTCGCTTGGTTCACTAGAATTACATACATAACCAATCTACCTGCGTACCCAAAACTTTCTAAAAATTTAGATTAAAAAGTAGAAAATTTAGATGAAAATTTTTTGAATTTTTCTACGTTCTGTATAAATTTTGAAAGTTTGACTTATGTGGTTTCGATTAAAGCATGAACCATATTTTTATATAAAAATAACAAAAAAAATTTACTTGAAAAACATTGTAAATATTAAACAAAAAACACCATGCACTCACTTTTGATTGCCTGTGTATGTACGTATGTGTGTCTAACAAATTATGGCTTTTTATCAAAATACCGATATTAATTAATAAGCTTAATATTATATAGTACAAATGTATTTGTAAAATTAATTTCATTAAAATTATTTCTGCAATCAAATTTTCTATTAATACAAAAGGCCAAACGCATAAATATGCACGTATGTACACATGCATTTGTAAATATGTACATACATATGTAATGTATGTATGTATGTAACATATATATGTACATACAATTGTACGATTGGTCGGGTTCGTCTTCGCCTCGCCGCTCCTGGCAACACAAATTATCAATTTCTGGGAATCGATACCAGATTGGCACGTGCGCGAAAATATTAACCCTACGTTTACGAAATATTTAGATTTTCGCATAAGTTTGCATTTAATAAAGCAATACTCGTACATTTTGTACGTACATGCATACATTCAGATGCGATCAACTAATTAGCAACGAAATTCAATATGATATTGTTTGCAAATTATGTTTATTTATTTTTAATGATTTTCATTTAAAATATAATTCAATCTGTAATAGAAACCACAATAATAAAAGTTTAAAAGCTTTAACAAATTGCAAACAAACGAATCAAACTTCAAGAAATGGTCATCCAAATTTTTAATTAGAATATTTAAAAAAATTTCGGGTATGCAGTATTGTAGTCCATTCAATTATAGTATAAGAAAGTGCAAGTTTCAAATTACCGTTGATTTTTTTGATTTTTTTGTTGGGGTGTTGCTGTTTTTTTTCCATACAAAAAAAATTGTGTTCATGTGTTATATGGAAGAAAATGCGAACACCCTCCACAAAAAAAAATTCTAAAAAATCAACGGTAATTTTTAACGACTAGAAACTTGGACTTTAGTGTACTTGATTGAATGGACTACAAAGCTGTATACCCAAAAATTTTCTAAATATTCGAATTAAAAATTTTGAAATTTGTATAACAATTTTTTGAAGTTTGATAAATTTTTTTGCAATTTGTGCAAGCTTTTAAACTTTTATTATTGGGGTTTCTGTTATAGATTGAATTATATTTTAAACGAAATTATTAAAAATAAATAAATAAATATAATTTGCAAACAATATCATTTTGAATCTCGTTGCTAATTAGTTGATCGCATCTGTATATACTACAAGCATCCATATGCGCATGCCTGGGAAATGGATTTGCATTTGACTCCAGAACTATTATTTACAAATAATATCTACGAGTATTGTAGTAAAACTCAAAAACAACTTTGAAGTTAACAAGTGCATTACTTTGTACATTTTTTTTTGTTATGCGTCCATCTTTAAAGTGAGTTTGTGAAAAAACTAAGGCAGCTAGAAAACTGGGATTTGTTGCATTAATAATAGCGTAGCAACTACAATAAGAATCGTTAAAAAAACCGATTTTTGCGACCCAAATGCCGATGGCAAATCACCACTGAGTTTGCCTAATTGCATAGCTTTAACATATTTATTAGATAACAAATCTACGTTTTGGAGTTAAAGCATTCCCTGGCATATATTTTCGAAAATTAATTTTCATTAATTTAACCAAGAATTTTCATCTTTTTTTTTATTAAATCAATGCAACGAAAAAGAAAATCCAAGCCAAAGTACTTAACATTGATACAAATTAACAAAATTGTATCTCCTATGCTATGTATGCTATTCGTAATTGCTGCTTCTCTGTATTTAACGTTCTCTGGGAGAACAGTGGTTTGTTTACATGTCATTGGTACAACACTGATTTGGCTGAAATATCACTAAATAATTATTAAAATCTATACATATTCAAATATTTCGTTGTTAGCTTCCATTTTTTTTACATATATAAGGTTCTTTGCTTTCACCGCTTTCTGTTTTTGTTTGCAAATGTAAATCAGCTGATCGTTTGACACTTTTCATGAACTTACAGGAAAAAAACTCGGGACTAAATCCTGTAACTTCTGACTAGGAACAGTTGCTCAGTTTCTCTCTCAAAAGTGTTCCCACCTACAGGTTTTATGTCAATAGGAACGACTTCCTGTAAGTTCTGACTAAATCCTGTAAACCGGACTGCTATTGGAACAGACTAAATATTTATGTACATACATATGTATGTATGTATATAATTACGCATAAAAACCCTGTTGCTATGTTTTTTGTAAGTACTAAGTGAGCGCAATATTAAAAGCAGCAACACTTATCCATCTATGACATAGAATCCATTTATATCGCAAAGCTCGAGAACGGCTGAACCGATTTTTTCGAAATTTCGGTCACTTGCGGCAGACGTTCAAGGTATGGTCACAGGCTAACAAAATTCTCGATATACAAAAGGGGCGTGGAACCTTCCATACAAACCGAAATTTTCATACTCCATATCTCTGGAATTAATCATGGTAGAGTTCTGGAACTTGTATGGAGATATATGAAATCCATCGCATACTCTTGGAGGAAAATTTTAGCTATTGGAAAAAGGGGTGTGGCACCTCCCATACAAACCGAATTTTTCATACTGCACATATCTGGAAGTGTTCTTGGAAGAGTCCTGGAACTGGATATTGACGTGAATGAAATTTATCGCATGCTCTTGGAGACAAATTGGAGCTATTAGAAAAGGGGGCGGTGGCACCTTCCGTACCAACCGAATTTTTCATACCGCCTACCTCTGGAAGTGTCCGTGGTAGACTGGTACTGAAACTTGGTATTGGCCCATATGAAATCGATAACATACTATTGGAGAAAAATTGGACCTCTTTCGAAAGGGGGCGTGGCACCTCCCTTTCAAACTGAATTTTTCATACTGCATATCTCTGGAAGAGTTTATGCCAGAGTATTGGAACTTGGTATAGAGATATATGAAATCCATGGCATACTCTGGGAGGAAAATCTGAGCTATTGGAAAAGGGGGCGTGGCACCTTCCCTACAAACCGAATTTTTCATACTGCATATCTCTGTAAATGTTCAGTAAGTGATAGAACGATACGAGTACCGAGTACAGAATATCGATACTTTTCATGAGTACTGATTAGTATCGAAAACTCGATACTTTTTCATAAGTACTGAATAAATATCGCGAATGCCAAAAAATATCGACGAGTTAAAAACTTTTTTGAAGTAAATTTTTTTTTTATTTACCAAATAAATATTGTGGGAACGTTCGAATATTAACTTCAACATCCAATATAAATGTTATGAAAATTAACATAAACCTCATTTACTTCAATACTGTCATAACTAAAAAAAAAACCGAAAACCCGAGAAACACGCCTTTAAAGTTTTTAATTCACATATCGTCACCCTCATGCGAGAAGCATGAATGTGCAAATTTATTAGTTTTGAGTTATTGGGTTGACTTGGTTAATCTTTGGATGTTCTATGTTATACCAAAACACAGAATACCATGCGTACACGGAAAGTAAATATTTTACAATTTCAATTGCATAAATGTAGAGTCTCGCAAAAAAAACTTTCAAACTTGTTTTCAATTTTAACATATTCATGTTTATGGTATACGGGCGGCGATATGTATACTCCCATACTAATAATTAATACATATTTTGTGCAAGTGAGGTACTGGTAATTGACACGGTCATGAAATTTAAATACAACCTAGAAGAAAACGTAGCGGTCTTGTCAACATTGGCTTCGTGTAAAAATGTTTAAACAATTGAAAAACGAATATCTTGCCTCCTGTTTGATAATGAATGGTGGAAGAGGATGGTCTTCTGACTCGACAACTTGGCCACTCTCCAGCTAACCCATGTGTTCTACCTTCGTTGTGAATTCGAAATCCAGCCCATTCTTGAAGAAAATTTTTATGAAAGAGATCTTATCTTTCCAATATCTTTCCACATTTGCTTCTCGTCTTCTACATTTGCATTTCATTTTTAAAGTAAAGTTATTTATAAATACATGTACGCGTCAAACAATTATAAAATAATTGCTTTTAAAAACTTGAAATGAGCTTTTTGCTAATTTTTAATTTACGCATGTAAAACTAATCTTATTGGAAGTTTATTCCAACTCCTTTAGATAAGATTAAAACTATTAAGAACAGTGACTATTCAATTTTTAAATAGGAAGAGGTGAAAAAGGCAAAGCAATATGATTTTTGTTTCCTTTTTGCGTTTCATTTGAGAATACATAATTGGAAGTACGAGTATTATCGATACTTTTTTGCAAATATGAGTACTGGAATCGATACTTTTTTAGAGTATTCTATATGAGTACAAGTATCGAAACTTTTCTAAAAAGTTCTATCACTAGGTAAAGTACTAGAGCTTGTTGTAGCGATATATAAGATCAATCGCATATAATAATAATAAAAAAAATAATAATAATAGATTGGCGCTTACACATATGTTAGTGTTTGGCCGAGCTTCTCCTCCGATTTGTGGCGTGCGCGTGATGTTGTCACACAAAAGGGAGGGACCTACTGTTTTACGCCGACTCCGAACGGCGATTGTAGTTTTATGAGAAGCTGTTTTTCATGACAGAAATACCCTCGGAGGTTTGCCATTGCCTGCCGAGGGGCGACCGCTGTTAAGAAAAAACTTTTTTTTCTAAATTTTTTTTTGGGACCTTGCTTTAACCAGAGCTTGAACGCAGGCGCTGCGGAGTGAAAGCGCGCACTGCTTACCACTACATCAGACATGGGCACTTTTGCGCATGTATTCGAATGTGATGAGCATCGATATAACTGTTGCCAACTTTGTGGCTTTCGCAATAAATTAAGTGCGTTTAGGGAATTAGAATGCGAAAATTTTTTAGTTTAGCGCTTGTTTCGTTCTTTGGTGTCCTTTTCAATGTAATTTTATATTAAAAACGTGATTCTATGGTGACATTGTATTTATTTTGTTCAGCCATTTATTCATTCCAAACGTACGGAAAACTTTATCCGTTGACTTACACATATGTTAGTGTTTGGCTGAGCTCCTCTGGATAATATGCTCCCAGATAATCCAAACGCAATATTTTCACAGTCTCTATCACGGAATAGAATATTCTGGTTATTAGCTGGGTGTGCGCATTTGTACAAAAGTAAGCAGTTGCATGAAAATAAAGCCGCTAGAGAAACCAAGTAAAGTTTTGCAAATTGTTTTACAAATAAAAAAACATTTTGCTAATTAGATTAATTAACTGCGCATAGTTGGAAATATTTACAAGTGACATTGCGTGATTACTTAAAATATTTGAATATACAGCTTTATATGCAAAAATACAATTAAACACAGCAATCTGGTGTTTTTTTTTGGGAAAATTGCGATATTTTCAGTGTTTTGGTGCTTTTTTAAATAAAAAACTTGGCAATACTGATCACTAGCTGACCTTCATCGTGCGCTCTTTTCTGTGTTCGGACTCAAAATGAGAGTAAAAATCAAGTTTTCGTAGTAGATTTGCATTTCTTATTTTTATAAAAAACAATTCATTTTTTCTCGTATCACTGTATTTTGGGACTAAATAAGGGGCAAAAGCTTCCTTTACAAGGGTCGATTTGTGTAGACTGGAAAATCGACTAGCCAAAGCATTTACATTTTACGGTTGAGATGTCATTTACACGGGTCGATTTTGGTCGAACTACAAAAATCTACTCGAAAATCACCCGTGTAAAGGCGCCTTAATCCAGCGAGCAATTATCATTAAAGTTAAAATGCCTTGGTTAAAATTAATAAAAAGTTATTTCATTATTTCTTTACCGGGACAATTGTTACATCGGTGGCAACGACGCAATGACAGAGCAATATTTTTCGATCGGGTTCAAATCGGGCGATTGTGAGGGCCTATTCACGAATTCAAGTGTATTTGCAAAGGTGCTGTAGCTCACCAATGTAACAATCGTGCCGATAAAAAGGTAAAATATAACTTTAAGTTTGCTATTAAAAACCCCACCTCCTTTCTATTTGAAGAGTAAATTTGCAACAAAGCGGAGCAGATTTTCAGTTGAGCGGAGTAGAGGACTAGGTTTCAAATTGTTTCGACAAAACGGAACAAATCTACTCCTATCGGAGCAAAGTCCGAACGATGGTTTATTGTGAATAAGAGGAAAATTTACGCTCTTTGTTTGGTGCACAAAGTCAGTATTACCGCAGCCGTACTACGATGAACATGATGTCGGTGGGGATATAAATAATTTTTTCGCAACTTTTAATACCCTTCCTCCCGTAAACTGTTTTTCCCTTTCTCTAGCCCGCGCTCGCACTTTCGCTACTGCGCGGGCAAAAAAGTGCCCATGTCTGCACTACATCAATAGCATCTGCTTGCAGAAAATTGGAGCTATTGGAAAAGAGGGCGTGGTACCTCCTATACAACCCGAATATTTCATACTGCATATTTCTGGAAGCGTTCATGGTCAATTTTTTGAACTTCACTCACATACAATCACATACTCATGGAAAAAATTGGAGTTATTGGAAAGTGGGCGTGGCACCTCAAACAAACCGAATTTTTCATACTGTATATCTCTGGAAATGTTCATGGTAGAGTACTAGAACTTGGTTTGCAGGTTCTATGTATATGAAATCAATCGCATACTCTTGAGAAAATTTGGAGCTATTGTAAAAAGGCGTGGGAACTCCCATACAATATGAATTTTTCATACTGTATTTTTCTGGAAGTGTTCATGGTACACCACTGGAGCTGGGTATGGAGATATATGGAATCAATCGCATACTCATGAAGAAAACTCGGGACTATTTGAAAAGGGGGCGTGGCACCCCCCATATAAACCGAATTTTTCATAATAAGTATCTCTGGAAGTGTTCATGGTAGAGTACTGGAACTTGGTACATATATATATAGTACATATATACATATATCGTATATATATCAAATCAATCGCATACTCATGAAGAAAAATTAGATTTATTGGAAATGGGGCGTGGCTCCTCATATACAAACCGAATTTTTCATACTGTATATCTCTGGATATGTTCATGGTACAGCGCTGGAGCTGGGTATGGAGATATATGAAATCAATCGCATACTCATGAAGAAAAACTCGGACTATTTGAAAAGGGGGGCGTGGCACTCCCCATATAAACCGAATTTTACATAATAAGTATCCCTGGAAGTGTTCTTGGTATAGTACTTGGTGTGGATATATTTGAAATTAATCGCATAGTCATGCAGAAAATATGGAGCTATTGGAAAAGTGGGCGCGGCACCTACCATACCAGCCGGGTCTCCGGAAGTGCTCATGGTACAGTACTGAAACTTCGTATGGAGATATATGAAATCAATCCCATACTCATGGAGATAAATGGGCTCTTTGAAAAGAGGGCATGGCATAGTACAAACGTATTGCCTTTTACTTATTTTTAAATGTGTATATAATTTCTCTGTAGGTATGTTTGTGAGTGAAATCCTAAATGGCTGGAGGGATTTTAACAAAGATTTCTGTGAGTCTCTGGATAGTTAAGTTTCACAATTTAACCCGCCATTTGGCGCTGGAGTTGAGTTATTGCTAAAAATATTTTTTTATGATCCGATTTGGCAATATTCAAAACATGTATAGGAAATGGTAAAGGCAGTCCAATGGCAAAAAAGAGGTGCTGATGTCGATTTATTACTAAAACTCGACAAGTCAGAAATGGTGCCGTGAATGTCAGACTAAATCGACCTGTTGAACCATTGAGTATATCGAACTCTCGTGTGTTACGATTGGCCCAATGGATCTGATTTGCTTCATTCGGAGACACCAGGTTTGAGTTTTTGTATTGTATTGTATTGTATTGTATTTTCTTTATTTCTCAATATATCTTCACAACTTTGCTAAATATTACTTAAATACGGATGCTAAAGCCTAAATGAGAAATAGTTAATGGCATCTGATGTTCATTGAAAGAACAGAAGTGATGCCATTTCATTCATATTGTATTATAAAAATGCTGTGGGGCGCATAAAGATAATACTTATTTGTACTCATTATAATACACGCATTTGTGATAAATAAGTAGAATATTACATAAGAAAAATGATGTGTAATTTAAATTCTTAAATCAATATTAGGAATTAGTAAGAGCAACCAAATGAAATTATGTAATAGGTCGTAGCAGAATCTCAATGACTGAAACCAAAAAGCCACAATTTGACTTCTTTTTGAAATACAAATAGACTTCTAATAATTTGGACCTCGTTGGGGAGTTTGTTAAAAAGTTTACATGATAATGTGGTGTAGAAGTTGCGGAAAAGCGTGGTGCGAAAGCCAGGAACCGAAACATGAGAAAAGGAGTTGCTTCTTAAACTATAGGGTATGTATATAGGACTTCGTATGTATTCGCTCCGTAAAAAAAAAAATTTTAAAAGTTTAAAATAGTACAAGTGTCGCACGGGAAGAATATTTCGTTTTTTCAACAGATGCATAGAATGCGCTAGACGGTCAGCGTTACACATTCTTCGGATGAGACACTTCTGCAAAATTAATATCGGACGGATCTTACTAGTATATGCACTACCCCAACAACTTATCCCGTATTGTAGTTTAGAGTGGATTAGTCCATGA